CGTTAGGGAATTGTTGTCGCGAGTAGAAGAACCAAGTTCCGAAGATTAGAAGAGTTACTTGATATTTAATGATATGGTGGTTTTGCTGAATCTGTACTACCGAGTGTACTTTTAAATCAGCGACGCTCCATGGATAAATGTGCCTGACGTGGCCGGAGTAGTTTCAATTGTTGTAAGGTGTCCTTCACTGCCTCAGCAAAAGGTCTTTTTGAGCTGGAAGAATCAAGTTTCAATGTGTAAGGAATTGCATGACGATCAAGATCTCCGGACTGCTATTGCTGTTACCGGGGGGGCAATGCGCATCGTACAATGCGGCTGGTTCTGTCATTGAGGATCTTGAGTGCGAGGAGTGAGACAGCTATGCTCAGGCGTCTAAAACATTGCTCTATCCTTTCTTAAAGAAGTCATTCGTTGTGGTTTTAAGAGACCATCACGCGTGTCATCCCAACAGACAATTACGTCAGGTGTAACCCATTTTTTTTAGCTCTGGAGCTAGTTTTCAGAGCTAAAAAATTAGGCTTCATCTCATTAGCCCTTACCAAGATAAACGTGCGACGCCATCTACCCGTTCATTTCTACACATAATCTGCAGACTGCGCGCCGTCGTGTGTCAGAAAGAGTGCACGCTTGATGTCAGATGTATGCAGCCACGATCCCGACACGAGCGCCGATTATTAAAACAATTGCTACAAAAGATAATGATCGATTGCATTTTGTTCAGCCCTTGACCTAGTGGATGGTCTTTCTCGATGTTTGATAAAGGATACCCCTCTTACCGGTGTGGATATTTAGAGTAAACTGATCTCATAGTGGATATTCATGCCAATGAAACTATCCAATGCACCAGCAACATTGAATCATGTGGTGACACAAGGAGCCATGCCACACCGAGGTCAAGCACAAATCATTTTCTAAGATTTCGTCATCCATCGTCGTGTAGAGCATGGAAAGTCTAACTGAGAACCACGCCGAATCTTTGCGAGTACTGCTCGATTGTGTGCGCTTGAATGATCGAATCGCAATTTAAACAAGTGTGGTATTGTTGCCAACGGATCCCCGAACTGAGTTGTTTTATTAAAAAGTAAGACCTGAGAGCAGCCTTCGTAGATACGAAGTCAACTGTAAATGAGCCAGCTTCTATTGTCCCAAAAGGGCTTGATAAAGTGGCGTGGGGCCGGTCAGCTACTTGCATATTTACATTGCATGATGTGCCAGTAAGATACGACTATTTGCAAATCCCCTAACACCGTTGTCAGATTTTGTTGGTAAGCGGCAGAAGAGTCTGCCTGAATAGCTAAAAAAGAAGGCCTCATGCATGCTCCAGATCCAGCTTTTGCTAATCTAGATCGGTCAATGTATTTCGACTGTGACGGTTATGGTTTTGACATAGGATGCAAATTTACATTATAAAGATGGTAATGGTTAAAGAAGCGCGATCGCGTTTGAATTTTGTAAACTTGTTGCGAAATAGACAAACTATGTTGAACATGACAAAGAGTTACATAAAGCATGCCATCGATAGTTCAGGGTGCGCCGGCTTAGCTCGAAGCCGTTTGGAGTATATAGAAATGAGTAATTTGTTTGTGATCTATACATATTATGCGTCGTTGCGTACAGCAAATAGAGAACTGTCAGATGCTTAATCTTTTTGCCGATCATAAGGCATCAGCTAGGTATCCTGAATTGGGTAGCGGAAGCGCTATCGCGTAACCCTCGTCTAAGAATTGTAGCCTGTCACAATTATGTAATCGTCAATTGATATGAACATATCAACGGCGTACGGGCCAAACGAAAAATGCGCTGCGCTACAGAAAGCTTCAAGAAGCAAAGCAATTCAGAGCTCAGTTGTCGCCTTTTAAAGCGCGCTTGAACCTCTATGCCTACATTATAAGGCTTGTTGATTACAGCATCGACCCACAGGACACTTAACGTTTCGTGGCGCCTCACGAAAAGGACTTTAGGTAGAGAACACAGTCTCATACTACCCCAATGAGTGGCCACTACCATTTCACGCACGTGTAATACCTAAGTTTTAGTTTTTGCGGACTGCCGGAGTAAGTAGGCTCATTAGATGTTGTCAGCGTTTATGTAAAATTGCTAAGCTGTTGATCGACTGAGGGTTATACCAGCATGTCATGTCTGAGTACATCGTATCAAATAGAGGTCCGAGCATTACAGCATCGCTTTTAAAAGCTTTTTCTAATGTTTTTCGAAAATTGTGGGTGTGTCAGCCTCTGTCATTCGCAGATAGATTTCTAGACGGAACGCGATAATTGCGTTGTGGATGGTATCTCCCGAAGCACTTGCACGATGTGAACTCTGTGCTTAAACGATACCCCCTCTCATTGAGTATATATTGAACAACGCAGTACGTTCCTCTTCAGGCGTTACCCCATTTCATATAAAAAATTTGGTGAACTCTCAGACGATTTTGACCCCACAACAAAATGAATTTGGTCTGAGTAGAGAGGAGCTGTCAATCGCTGCTATCAGCTGGGCTACACTTTGCGGAGAATCAACGCTTTTGTACTAACGGATTGAACGCAATGAGCAGGGCGCGCGAGCGCGACGTAATGGCTGAGAGTCGAGATTAAAACAAAGCAAACACCGATACCAGAGATCAGCATAGAACACATGAATATGCTGTGAAACAAAAGGTACTTATAAAATACAGTCAACCTGCCTACTCATGCAGTGTCCGCAGTCTACATGACTAAGTTGTGACCATGCTACATCGTACTGCCCACAACTTTAACCAAAAATCAATAAGTAATCCTTAGTATATAATTCCAGGAAAAATTAAACATACAAAAGGTCTGGACGGGCTTCTTGAAACGATACTATGATCACGCTCTTACGAGTGAGGTGGGCACAAAATATTACTACAGATGGTGTAACATCTCTTCCATCCCCTAAAGCCGATCTTTTTGATACTTTAAGGCAGCGACGCGTTAATAGAGCCCTAAGTCAGGCAATCCGATGACATTACACTTTAGATGAATTCGAATTCCGGCTCATCTTACCATACCTTGAATTTTGAGAAGCAGTAGGAATCAACCAACCTTGCGGTAGTTCTACTCTTGGTAGGTATCCTGGAGGCGAGCATGGCGGGAACTTGAGACGACGATATGTCACTTCGACGTCCACATCGCGCTTTGCAATTTGTTAAGGTAAGCACGAGACAACACTCTCAACAGATGTTCGCTTTGCCGAAACCAGCTTGTAAACATTTAAGAAGAATGAAGCTGCACTGGTGTACATATCAAATGTAGGGAAAATACAAAAAATGGGCAATCAAAGCTCATGTTTGAACAACTGAGTGGTAGATTGTTGATTAGCAAGCCGGGAAATTGAAATGAAGGGAGAAACATGGATTTGTATCCCACGCTTGGTGCCTTCAGTGCCATTGTCAAACCAGCGACTATCTCGATTTACTATGATACAGACATTTAGGTCGTATTTGAAGAAATGTCATTGAATGAAGCTTTGAATCGTGAACACAAAAAACTTGTTCGTACTACATTTGTGTCCAGTGCATCAAGCGTTACCAATCCAGAAGCAGTTTTTACATCTCAATATATGTATGTATTTGCGTTTGTTAAGGCTTTTTTACAAGATCTACTTAGCTTTTAATGTGACGTCTACGTTCTTGTCATTAGCATTACAATTTAGCGCACCTTGCACTATTTATTACATGATGGCTATTGGCATACAATTTGGCGTGACACTTACTCGAGGAATAGCGTGACAGTATTCTCACCGTTATATTATTACTGACAAGAGCAAGATAAGCAATCTGGCTTGGATGGTTTTCAACGAATACTGCCGGACGCATCAATTGAGAGTCAGAAGACATAATCCATCCCATAAAATACTAACACCCTTCCGGTACCGTCAGACTGATCTATGGTGCCGCCGCACGCTGCGAGAGTTCTACCCGGTTACCCGGTTACACGTTTCACACGTACCACATGGTGCTTGCCCACTTATACATGCTATGGCGCCGACTTACGCTCGAGCACCACTCGAAAGTGCTCCATGTGGGAATCCACAATCAGTTTTTCTCGCGGTCTATTAGCCAACCCGCTTTTTGATCTGAACAACTGCGTCCTCCAGACAATTAAAAGTCTCTGGTGCATCAGACGGTCCTTGTTGCATGAACAGCCGCTCACAGAGATTTTACTAGGCTCGCCGCAAAAACAAGATATTGCTGACTCCCACCAGAATTATATAATGCTATCAACCTTGTCAAGAGCACTGAACAAGTGCGCTTACTCATGTTTATAAAGATTGTTTTTCATTGGATGATATTTGGCCTCATTTAACCAAATGGGGGCATCTACAATAAAGAAATTAGCCACTAACTGTTTCCTTCCTGACTCAAGAAATCAGTGCTGGGAAGGCAGATTTGATCTCTTTTACAAGCCCGCTTCATACCTCACAAGAAGTAGAATGTCAATGACGCCACAATATTCTCTCGGAATGAAAATACCATGTGATGCTATGTTTGATCCAGAAACCAATTCAACTTGAATACGTACTCGGTAACAAGCGTAGCATGCCTCCATCACTACGTCGTGATAGTCTGTGAACGATGAATAAAATGATTCTGTAGGATCGTTGGCCATAGCTATCGCTCCTTGCACTTCCTGCTCTGTCAGTGTTCAAGATACAAGATTTATCCATTATGGATATCGAGCTCAGCTCATCCTGATGTACCACCGTGATCTCGCCGTCTTGCAATTCTTCGAACATAGGGACAATTCTACCGGATCTATCAAATCATCTGCCAAGAGCCTTGTAATTACTAAGACTAACTTGGTCACTAGAATCTCGGGTGAATCATTTTATTCTTTGCTTACTCGTGGGGCGTCACCATTACGCATGATGTGCTTGACACAGGGTAGAACTGACTCAGTAGTACCATCAGCTTTCATTTCTTCAGGAATTATCTCATTTAGTCGCGACACCTTTCGCTTCAATTTCCCACCAGCCCTGGTAGCACAGAGACGTCAGCTCACTACTGCTCTTTACTGCCCCATCAGAGATATACTCTGGCGGCCTTGCTGTTCAGCCGACCTTTTTCGTCACAGTGGAGATACGTTGTGGATACACGCGATTTACAACCGCTTGCTTCTGTCTCATTCCAAGACCTCGGGTGGCTCACTACCGCCCCTACTATCAAGCTCCACCCTAAAAAGTCTGCAATCAGCATCGGACATTAGCGTGCCCTTCATGATATTTTAGCTTCATGCTTGCGCCAAAAGTGCTTCTGCTGTTAGCAGAGGTGAAAACATGACTTGTCATTGCTTTACCAAGAGAAAACTGCTATGCGCCAAACATTTCCGACCTCCGGTCGACGCGTTGGCTCGTGGTATCCCAGTCACGTCGTGGCTAAAATGAGATTGTATATAATTTCTGGTGTTGGATTAGATAACGTTCTGCATCGTCAAAGACCAAATTCGTCATTCAAAGATTTGACGTAAAGTCTGACAGTTTTATCATCTCCCCTTGCATGATGCATGTATCTGTAGCTGGGATCATCAATGAATTCGCGCTCTGTCTACTGTTTCGACTGTTGCACGATGTACATCTCTGGGTACGGATGGAGGTGTTGTATTGGGACTTGGACCTCTTTTCGACCGATTCAGTTGGAAACCAAGTCGGCGATCTCATCAAGTGTAGCTTCTCGAGCGTCGGTGGCGAGAGCCGCCTCTTTTAAATATTTTCTGTTCCATTTGATGTAGTGATATCCTTTTTCTACCTTTCAGATGAATGCACGGAAGTTCACAGTGTGGAGTAAAAAACCAGGCAAAGCAAGTGCTCGTTGGGCATTTACTGTTGTTCAATGACTTCAAAATAGAAGTAGTGTACGACCATGTGTGTTCTCCGTCTTTGAGGGGACTGTCAATGTACAACACTATTGTGCACATACACCTAATACTTCTGTACAAATGTGCAAAACACAAAGTTGCAAGATTGTACAAAGCTCACATTACTTACATTGTTGAGTGGTGGAAGACAATCCGTGCCGCCTAGCCTCACGTCAAGCGATAGAGATAATCTTATGTAATAAAGCTTCAATATTTAGCATCGCTTGAATCGAATTAATCCTAAATATATCTTTCTCTATAAGTCGCAGAGCACCCAAGGTAATTCGTTACGTTGGAGAGTCGCAGTTCCAATCCCGAGTAGAGCGTACACACCCAACTTCTTTGTGTTTGTTGATGTGGACTCTTTGAGTCAGAACTTTTCTGTGCTGGTGCCAAGACTACGGCACCTCTAACTTTTCTAACAATATTCCAAAGGAGTAAATGTGAATACTGCCCGACTGTTAGCCAGAAGTGTCAGGTTGACATACACAATTATATATTGCGTTATACTAAGATTTTTTGCAAAATTACATAAAAGTGTCATATAAGCTGCATCAAAGTTTATTTGATGCAAGTTGTCAGTTGCACACAAACGTAACGTGTACATTTACAGTAGAACCATACTACCCCGTCATAATTCTGAGTTCGTAAAATACAGCTTTGTTTTACAAAATTTTCAAATCTTATTTATGTGAGGTTTGGTCGTTTTTAAGATCAGACGATAGCACAGGGTTGCGCCGAATATATTCACTTCATTACTTGCCTTCTACTGCTCACACCTGTGGCTGCAAAATTCGTCCTTTAAGATCTTCATGACTGGCTTTTATTCTATCACTCGTTCCAATCAAATTTCAGTCTGATACTCTCGGACGTTGATTCTTCAAGAGTCTCGACGTGCGTCCATCCTGTGGTTATAAAAGATATTCAAACTTCTGTATAGCCTATGCAGCACTCGATAATTCCATGACAAAAGAGATTATTTCTTGCCATGATTCTGATAATCAAAATGACGAACCGGCTCAATTCTCAGATGTCTTGAAAAAATAGTAATACCACTCTCGAAGTTGAAGGTGGTATCTAAACTAATATCCAGCTTTCGCCAAGAAGGGGATTTGTCTGCATAACATGTTCATACCCCAACGATAGCCACTAATTCAGCAAAAGATGACTTTTAATGACTTGCGTCTTTCAAACGTACTTGTCGAATAAGGTGGTGTAGCATTTTCCGAGACTAAAGCGTGCAGAAGGACAAGGGTACAGCGGCAACTGACTTTACCATCTGTCATACGGCATTGAACAAGAGAGATGTGTTTGTGCACATCTGGCTGCGTCAAAAACGTTACTCTTTTCTTAAGAGCTCACTTAGCAAGTCGTGATGGCAAGTAATAGTCGCTTCACGGTCAATCCGTTTCCAGACCTGGTTCTCACAGCCAAAGATCAATCTCACCTTATTGCCATTGCTGACAAGCTCGTGTTAGCGAAATTACCAGAGTACCAAAAGCATATCAACAATCAAAAATTCGTCGATCCAATTCGATGGAAAAAGTTGCAAGGGGATGGTAACACCATAATGTACATCGAGCGTAAGAATGCGAGTCCCGAGATGAAATTGCCAACTATGCTTATGGTTGGTCCGCTTCCTGGATCCCTTGATGAAAACATGTTTGGACTCGTAAGCCCAACGCTTGAATCGATGCGCATTAAGTCATCGTACCTTAAAGATTTTAATGCCGCTGCAGTATTAGCGACGATTGTTGAACCGAGTGTAGAGGAGCCGTTTCGTTCGCTTGTCGTCAAATGGATAGAAATCGATGTTCCGGGTGCGTCAATTGGTTTTGTACACAATCGTGACTACGTGTACCTCGAAAGTACAGGTATCATGCGTCTTGCGAACGGCGAACGTGTTGGATACCACTTGCTACATTCGGTGAATTTCTCACAAACATACGAACTGCCGCATCGTGTGCGTGGGAACTTGTCGCTCTGTGGACTATTTTATGGAAAAAGACCTGATCAAACCGATTGCTATGGCACTGGTATTATGGACCCCCGCGGTGAATTGATTCCAATTTTGGGCATCTTGGGCATGGTTCAAGCAGCGATGGCTGGACTCAAATATTCGTATTGTGGTCAAATGAAAAAGCTAGCATGGTCACTGGAACAAAAGCAGACCGAAACAAAAGAACAAGCCATTTCAATGCTACAATCCGAATGTGTGACGTGCCAAAAGAACGTCAAAGGATACATTTTTGGGAAATCTCATAAGACGTGCAAGTTGTGCTTTGGTGTCTTGTGTGCTTCGTGTAAAATTCCCAAGAAACTTAGTTTTATTACTACAGACCTAAAAATGGTGCAGCGCAAGGTGATATTCTGCACAAAGTGTCTGATTCAAGCGACTCGCATGGACTCGGAGGAAGCAGCAAGAATGCAGTTTGTACACAGACGTCAAGTACGATCAAGTGTCTACGGTACGTCGGATTTATCTTCCGTTGTGAGCTCGCGTCCGAATAGCTTAATGAGTCTGCATGCACAGCAAGCCCAATTCGCGTAATTATGTATAAAAATTCACATTATCTCTTGTTTATAAATGAATATCTGCAAAAAGATTGAAAGATGACGGCACCGTCCATGTCCTCAATGTAATTTTTCTTGTAATTTTAGAATGTGTAAGTATATAATTTATAAAGATAAACGATTGGCTAAAATTGCGGCATGTGTCTGACAAGACGTCGTGATCAAGATGTGAAGACTGCAAGAATATGAAGAGAATTTAGAGATTGTGTGAAGCTAATGAACCATGTAAACGCTGTACTTGGCAAGCAAAATGATGTCATCCGGCTTACTATAGCTCAAAGCGGGGGACTGAACACCCGGTGCTGATATTATGGTGGCAGCTGAACAAGAAGCAGTTTGGTGTGAGTTAGAGTTTCGAGAAGACGAGATTTACGTGCTGGTGAAAATTTTACGAAGCAGCGGTTGCTGTCGCGGATGAAATATATGTGATGGCGAAACAAATGTGAGAATCACACGAGCAGTTGTTTGAAGACAGAGGAAGCGATCCAGTTTCTTACAGGTCGGATTGACCATCGGCAGGGACTACTGCAAGAATCATGGTGAAATTTGTGTGCACTGTTCTGGTTACTGACAGCTGCATATCATATGCAATTGAAATCACTGAATAAATAGTGTAACAGCGCGGACGACCTGGGAATTTCGCAGAACGCAATATCAGTAGTGACGAGTTTTGTGTCCTTGGTGTGAGCGAAACGGCATAAAAATTTTTACACTAAATGATCCTGGCCGTAACATTGAGCGGCTTGATGTTCTCATATAAAGTGATCCAAATCATTAAGAATCAGATATCTGAAGAGATGAAGATGCTTATCGAAGAAAAAAATGGGTGGAAGATGCAGACGATTTCAGGCTTGTTCGGAGCTGATTGTGCTGAATCTTCTTGCTTAAGATCCAGTGTTGGGTTCAAACCAACGATTGGAGCTCATGAGCAATTCTCATGTCTCTGATCGCGAAGCAAGCATAAAAAAGCTGGAGGAGCTTTTATGTGATAAAATCGCTTATGAAGATAGGAGTGATGCTAAACCTCCACTGTTAATCTCAGAAGAGTCTTGTCGTGTTTTTTGTGTTAAATGATTCAAGTCATGACATTGGCCTTGACATGATTATACGCTTCTACAAACAAACTCACACAGGCATGTGAGCAGCAATTTGTAATGACACATTCATTTCTGAGTATCCCATAAGTATATGTGGAAAGGATACTTTTGCAAACAGCAACGGTAGAAGCTAGTTTCGCTATGAGTAAACAGAAAAAAATCGAATGTTGTGCTTGAAAGAAAAATCATGTATTTGAGATTGTGACACACTTTCTATGAAATGGCCATCGATCATAGTCAAAATCTTGTCACAATTGTAGCAATTGTATCTCTTGACATTTTCTTTTTATTTAAAAATTGTCAGTATGACAAAAAAGTGTAGTAATATTAATGTACAAGGATGTGGACCACATTGGTGTTCAAACTTCTTCTGTCTTGGAGTTTGACGCGACACCTTACACTCGACCGTGCACGCGTCTGTGAGCATAATCACATGGTGAAAAATGGAAAGAGACAAAATTGATATGTACATACACGTTTCACTATAATAGAAACGTACAGAATTCCGATTACACTTCGGTGTATTCGTGAAAACTAATGAATTCCGAAATATCGCTGTTTATGAGGAAAGCTTTGTGCGCATAATAATGTGGATATTATACTAAATGTATGTCTATGCTACGTACACGACAGACTCGCTACACTTGGTGGCACTAGTAGTCAGTTCCACGGCCGAATCGTAATAAAATGTAACTTCTGCGAGAACGGACAATAATTTATTCGAGAAATTATCCGCAGGGCAAATCGGCACGCTTGAAAAGCTTCGTCCAGACGGGATCAAGGTATTAGCAGTCAAAGGTCGATATGTGGATATCGCTCTCCAGCAAGCGCTCACCAGCTATCAAAATGCACTGATGCCCGAGACGGTCACCGTAGAAATGACATTATACGGAAGTCGACGTTGATAGTCCAGCCTATGGAGAAAGGATTTGGAAGAAGCGCTATATCAAGAAGAATAAAAGTAGGATGACCAATGCTTGACCATGTTCGACGCAGAGCAACGCCGCGGTGTCCTTGCGGTCTTTAAAGTAGGAGGCCGTGCGAAAGAGTAAGAATTTTGCGCATTATCTCTCTCGAAGAAACATTTTTAGCATTGAATCTCCAGGAGTGACATAAATTGCGTTTTTTTCTTCCGCCAACAAGGCGTATCAGGTGGGACTCCCGTCTAGATCTTCCGCGTTCTTACGGTATATTTCGGGGAAACATAGGTACCACATTAAAGGCGGAATGCAACCAAGGGTCCGGTATAGAACCCCCCCCGTAAGCATACCAGTGGCGATGGACTTGACCATGCAAAGAAGCGAGATAAATAATGATTTTTACTGAGCTGTCCCGCGGTACTTGCAGATGAAAGCGGTGATCATAAACCTCTGCACCTTGCAAATCGCCTTTATTCCGCGATAACAGATCTAAAGGGCCGCGCTTCTACAGAAAGCTATTTGATGAATCCTACTCCGACCCAGCACAGCGTAAAATCTTACTGAACCTCGTGAAGATCGTAATCACTGGGATCCAGTCCTAAAGAGCGGCTTTTTGCTAATAATAAGTGGGAGTTTTATCGAAATAGAATACGGGATCCGTGTGTCTTGGGGACCGATATAATAATAAAATTTTGACGAATCTAAAATAAAAACTTTGGACTTTGACAGAATGAATAATTGTCGCTTCCTGGACTTTGATTTATGATATGAAATCATCATCGGTATGGCAAGGCTGAAAAGTTATTAGACATGAAACAACTGTATGTCGATGAGTTTGGGTGCCTCGCACCTTTATTTGGCTGGGGCTTCGCGAGTCAAAAAGACACCACTCTCATAAAGAAGTACGGCTTTTGATACGGGCTCAAAGCTGTGATGGCTTTTGTGCATGGGATAAGGATGTCGGAAAAGTTGAGTACTGATATTGGGAGACTGTCGACCACAAATAGAATACCAGATTCTGGACCACGAAGGCTCACTCATCCGTGTCACTACGTGATTGTATCCTGCTGACTCAGCACTCCGTCTTACATGTCCACCGTTTGGGGGTAAAAACGCACGGGTAAGTGCCGAAACATTCTTCATGCGCTCACAATATTTTTGGGTTGTTATTGGTTTGTAAATATGTCTTATTACATTGGGCTGAAACGCGCGACAGAACTTTGAAAACCGCATTGCTGGGAATTTACTCCTCGGTAATTTTTACAAGGACTCATAAGACCGGGTTGGCAAATATTACCATCTGCGCACGGGGCCATCAATATTCATTTTCAGCGATGAAAACGCGAAGAGGATGGTCATCTACGCAGCAGATACTATTCGCACCACCGACACATAGCCGCACGGCGGCGCAGCTACTGAACCCATTCCTATCTATGCACAAACCTATTCCAACGATATGACTGTGCTCAGACGTGCGAAGCATGAGCAGGTTGAGAATTAAGAACCACATCAAACACTTGACAACAATGCTATAGTGTTTGCGTTTCAATGAGATGAAGAGCTTAATTGAGATCAGCCTGGTAGGAAGTATAGAAGTACTAAAGATTATTGTGGAACAGCCAGTTCTATGTCTCATAAAAGCCTGTAAATTTTGCTGATCTAGCGAATTACATGCAAAAATATGGTGCAAAGTATGTCGACATGACACGACTCCGCATGACATTTCTTAAAATTTAAGTTAATTCGAGCTCAGGTGCGATAAAAAGGTGACCTTTAAGGCCGTTTTAATTGTCTTATTCCTGCTTTCAAAATGGATTTTCTGAATCAAAATCGGCCATTTCATGTCGACAGTGGCGTTCCGGCCTTTACAATAGGCTGTAGCTCTTGGGCTGAGCAGATGCCGATGTTAATGAAAGCATAACCTCCTCCAGTTACGCCATCATCGAGCGGGAAAAAAAAGTTAACCTGTCCACGGCAAGAAGCCACTCGCAATCGAGTACGCGTTATCAAGTGTCAGGTACGCATACTAGAGTTTTGGAGCTCAGGTACGCGTCGCTGTAGTACTGCACCGATCCGCTTGACACTTATCGTGTCGTGGTATCTTATGATGATGTCCAAAGTAGATTCTACTGCATAAAGCAAATAATAGTTTGATATGTTGCCATATTCAACGAGTAAAGACATACTGCTCAGTGAGTAGTATGTTTTGGTTGTTGAACACGTATTAAATGATCTATATAAATGTGTGCTCGTGAACGGGTTTGATACTCGCCAAAAACAGTCGCACTTCTAGCCAGTCTACCGCGTTCTGCATACTATCGGCAGTCCATTTGCATAAACATTTTGGTCTTCTGAAATATGCGTCTGGTAGTATCGACGTTGGCGAGTCGGTTGTAGACTTTGTAGGCCGTTTGAGCAAGAAGGCTACGCTTAGGGAGACCGTGATCAGTGAGAAATTATCTAAGCTGTACCATGACAGGCAAAGTGTTTCGCCAGTTTAGCGAACCAATAGCCATTATATCGACTGATAACCCGCACTTTACAGCAGACTAACGCTTTTTTAATGATACAGCAGCTGACCATCAACAGAAAGATAGTCGGACAGAACACGTTAATTGCGCGATGGGGATATTATTCACATTATCTGCGCAGAGATATCGCAGTGCTTGAACAATTTGCTCTCATTCGCTTCGTTTTTGATCGGAAAAGTAGAGCATTACTCTGGGTCCAAAATGACGTTGGCGTATCTCTTTTTTTTGGAACTGCCACGAGGTATATCCAGTCGTAGTAGTGGAGGGCCGACAATACAATTTGCTTAGCTCATCTCATTAGAAATATCAGCCAGTCGAATTGTGATTCTGCCGAGAAGTATAGCCACTTCTTAGCAAAATCACATATTTTCTCAATGATATTAAGCATGATGCATCACGTCTACGAGACTACGGTTGAGATCCAGGATGTTTAAAAGCAAAATAACAATGACAGAAGCAGGGAGACAGACGCGGATATCTATTTGGCAAAACCTTCTAGAATGCAGTTACCATAACTGCACATGAAGTGACAACCACAGAACGACTATGTATCGATTATGCTACATCGAGCCGCAAACGGTCGTGTTGTGTACGAGGCTTAGTACTATGCTTGATACCTCGGAGGTAATACAAATGTATATTGTGTTCTAAGTGGTTTTACTAAAGCCATACTACAATCTCGCTATTACGAGCCAGTCGGATTTCACAGCCCCATTTTAGAGAGGGCAGCATCTCTCCCGTCTCCTGTAGCCGTGTACGCTGCCGCAGCCTGGAATCCAATCTGATATATAACGCATCTCAGGATTTGATGCACTCTCAAACTTACTCATACGACGACGTGTGTTTACGAGGGAAAAGGTCACACGAGATTGCCGCGTTTGGGTCGTCTTCCGTCGGCACTAGTTGATAAGGAAGTAGTGGCTTGCTTGGATGAGAAACATATCTTGGATGGGTAGATCTAATAGGACTGTTACTAGTATCAGGGAAGAACAAGGATTATCCGCATTAGGACAATTTATAGGAGTGTAAAGCTCAACTTTGTCAGCAATGCTTTCGCGACGTTGCTACGACTCGATATCCCTTGATTATTTCCTTGAGGAAGAGAAAAGTTGTTGATTGCAGCGCGCTTTCACTAGCGAGTAAGAATCAAATCTTTTCAAGTTCGACAGTTTGTTATCATTACTGTCTTCTGGGGAGGAGCCGCAATACGTAGAGATAGATAGACTTCCGCCGCGTTCTTTGAATTTGACATGTCAAATATGATGATTCGGACGTCAAAAGTGGCTAGTGAAGCCTTTATTAGATCAAGAGACAAGATTTCTTCGTCCAGTGCACAAGTTGAATAATTTACACATCAACACAGACACCAGCATTCAAAACAGACTGTGTATTACTCGTCTATACGCTTAAAAATGCGAAAAAAATCAATTGTTCTATGTGAAAATGACACTATACTCCGCTCCTATGAGTTGATTCAAATTGGAATCTGTGTCATCCCTTCACTACCACCGCTGAGCTCTATAGCAACGACGCTGCTATGAATCACTGAGTGTGCCTCAATCTCTGAGCGCGGATGCGAGTGCGCAACTCAAAGAGCGCGCCTTAACTCAAAATCAATCTAGGTGCAGTTGTATGCTGTGACTGTCAAGAATATTGACGCTCCATTACGACCAAAAGGCCATGAGAGCTAGCCGCAAGAGGACCATTCTCCACCAGCACGGTCGATGATGAACGGATGGTCCACTTCCACGTAAACTATTTACTGGAAGGTACGGTAGATCACTACCGCTTCCAGTATTTAGTGAGGTGGAGGAGTTCTCGTTCTGGAAATCTATTGGGCGATTGAATTATACTTTTAAGCAATTGTCTGTATACATATGTTCTTGCAATCTGCACTTCCACCCGAAGTCTCCGTAAAAGAAAATGTTGGGTCGCACATCGCAGCGCTCCCCAATCGCGATTGTTATTCTTTTGCCTGCGAGTCTGTCTCTCAACACCAAGAGCAAAACAAGTGTTATGCAAAGTTGATTTGCAAGCATCTCTTGACCCCGCAAAGCATTATTTTGATGAAGACGTTATGCGTTCGAGAGAGCGGCGGTTGGACAGTTATGTATCCCGTTGTTCGCTACGATCGTTCACAGTTTGAGTAAGCATGAAAAGTACATAAAATATATTTTGTCCTTCACGTATTTGTGCGAGTTTCGCCTGCGTTAGTCGTTGGATATGTGTCTTTAAACATCGACACTCTCAGCCATAGTCTCACAGATCTAGCGCATTCCGCTCAATACCATTTCAAGAAAATATGTGATTTTGCAAAGGAGAATGGTTAGGCTGATATCACAGGTTCTATTGTAATGCTAGCTTCTTTGCCACTAAATATGGGGTGTTTCGCGGCGGTGTAAAAAGCATATGGGAGCTGCCAGACGATTTATGTTAATTACGATAAAGTTTGAAGAGGTGTGCACTCCACCATACAGCACCAACAAACTTTTACGAGCAACTTGCTGTAACACCTCATTCTTTCCACATAAGTGCTACGGAGGATGACCTTCACCAACTTTCTAATCGTCGATATGAATGCGGATAGCTGGCGAATGATCATTTTATTTAGTGCCTTCATTACAAAGACTTTAATCAGTCATGTTGGCAAAACGCTTCGTTTATCAACAAACAGCTCGTCCAAACTCTTACTGGACATAAAAATAGAACAGCAAGGTAAACCGTCATGTCAAACCAATTTACAAAGAGAACAAAATTGGCATTTCCAAGAGCGTCTTTTATAAGACCTTCAATGAAATCCTTCTACCTTTTTGACATTGGATACACTGCCAGAACTGACAGACTAGCCATAGGTTCCTGCGAATGCGGCAAGGGTTTGACCCTTATAGCAAGCTTCACGCGTGTGCAAATACGTTCAAATCCACATATACAGGTTATACAACCAATGCATAGCACTCACCGTATAGCGTTCCTTTTATTTCCAAGGTGGCCACTAAATCATGTATCATGTGCCTCGTAAAAAATTTGTGGTAGAGGTCCGAGTGATACGGCATTACTACATAGCTTAAATTAGCGGTGCAAATACGCAACCGTGTGCTTAAAGAATCAGCATCTTGTTTTGCAAACATTTTATACTACAAAGTTGCCAGCAACGCATCACATGTTCAGCCTGACCCATACGCTGGACATATCGCCCACCAGCTGGCAACATCACAATTGCAACTTGCAATATTTTATGATCATGAGAGTGCGAAAGCGTATTCACCACCACAAAAATCCGCTCAGGCTAGAACGTTACCTCATAGATACACTTGGCGAAGAAGAATAACAGTTCTGCAATTCTTTGTGAGAGAAAAGCGACAACGGTGCTGTGTGTAACTATGCATGATCTGTATAAATCATAGGTAGATCAGTGTGAAGGTGGTGTGTCCTGAGCTTGACAAGGGTTTACTTCATTTCTGGGAGCTTTGAGTTACGAACAGGGAGGTTCATCTCTGCTCCTTGTTCTGGAAAGCTTCAAACGCGAACATGTGTCCGCTCGAACAAGCATCAAATCGGAGTGAAGCAGAACTTTATAGAAGCAGAAATGTCACAGGTGACATGAAACACCGGCTTGAGTTCGGATAAATCTGATTCGGTGCCCGCAAGATGTATTCACTTCCAGCAAAACAGACCGCCTCTTCGAGCGCACCTCTGCACCAATCGAGATCTTTCTCAGGAGATTCTTATCACATCTTTATAGCTTGTACAGTAGTTGTGCTAGCGGTTCGTAAGGACAAACCAGTTTAATGGTTTTTATCGATTTTTTGCAGGTTTTCATTTCCACGTTGCACCCCATATAGTTATTTCGTTTGGGCCAAACATTCTTTCTCTATTTCGGAGAAAAGGCATTTAAGCGCAGATACATGATAACTGCTCGCGAATGATTAATGTAGCTTTACACATCCGGCTCCCTAAACTCGATAAAATTATTGTTAAAACATCGACAAAACGGGTTTGTAGATGGGTAGCCTAGATGTGGTCTGAACTGGTGTGTCACTAGACGATTTAACGTGGCGCTATATAGTGCCTGAAGCATCACCAGCCACTTCCGAAGCATTTTGCTCCGAGAAGACTCCACCGTCAGAAAAATACCGCTACCACTCAAAAGTACTCATAATATCCATCTACCAGGTTGAAAGCACTGAACAAAAATCAGACGACCAAGCCGTTCTGCAGAGCATCCTGTTTAGACATTGGCTTTTGTGTCAAAATTCTGGGCGTTTATGTAACCATATCATGCACTATCATCACTTGCAGTTTGACTTTCTGAAACAGAAAGTGGGCGCCGGCGAAGAAATACTTTTTCTTACCAAATATATACCTTGCACTTTGCATGGAGAAAAGTGTCAACCACTTCACCCTTTTTCGTTTGAGGAGGACCATTGCCGTGAGATGCACATTTGATTCTCACTTTCATAACGCACGTTCTTCCTAGCCAGATCAACAACCACAGTGGGTCTATTCTCACCACGTCGTGAAATTTCTTCAACCAAGGAATAAAAGACCACTAGGATTTCTAAAAACTTCTTGATTAATCCACACACACATAGTGTTCTGCAAGCTCCCTCAATGACAGCTCCTTTATAGATGATCACGAGCTCAGCTCTCTCCATTCCAACCGTATCATCTCGATGACGCCTTTGTCTAGGAAATCCTCACATGTATATGTGATGAGTAATCCACCTCTTGAAGCGCTTCAACTGACCAAAACGACGGTGAATCCACAACCCTTCAATTTCTTTCGGTCACCTCATTTACGAGTAGAATTTTTTTCTCGTCACTTCCGTGTGGATCGTGATTGTGTTGCACGAAGGACAAGTCAGTCACATGGGGTTGCCTAGCCGTGCCGCCACATTCTTACAGAATTGAATTATCCTTTTGATATTCAGTGCCTCACTCCTCAACTCCGCTGAGCTGTGAGGTATAGCTGCGTTCACTCTCAAGCGGCTTTGGCACTGAGATGACAGTCCACGGCTGTTTTTTACCGTCCCGCCATATACACTCTGGTACTTAAGATGTTGGGTTGTCCTTCGTGTCTGAACCGACGTGCACTGTGGACATCGATATAGAATCACAATTCTGTCTTATCCTCAGACCACGGCTCACTACCTTACTGCCTCTCGAGCTCTGCCCGGAGCACTTAGCAATACTATTTCTGAAAATTTGTACTATAAAATGTCCCGCAAAAAAGCTGTTGCGACTTCTAGCCCGTTCCAAAGGCGCATAAGTTTTCTGATAGATATGCTCTCTTAAGTATGGGTTCACGGCTCACAAGAGTAAAACCTAGTCTTTTTGGCTTTCAGTTGACTCATTGCGCGTGGCATTTCAGCCAAATGATAACTAGAATGAGATCGTTTCTAAATTCTAGACCCAACCTATCAGACTTTACTTAAAGGTTGCGCATAACCTCTTCACTTTTAATTATTCTTTCATAGTAGGACGCACTGATACGTAACTATGAATGTCATTTTCAATGCCATCGCATACGGTCTACTCGTTTTTGACAGTCACGCGTTATATGTAGTTGCTCGACGCTTCTGAACTTTTAAGGCTTTCACGGCCTCCAAAACACAAGACGTCATTATCACAGCTTTCAATATTGATCTGACAACTTCACTTCTCTGGAAATGAGTCGCTGTTTTTGTTCGGGGGTTCACTAACCTCTGTCAGATGGTACAATAGATTCAGTAGGCTGATGTGGACTATTCACCGCATGATGGTGTTGGACCGTGACCCTTCAAACTTATCGGCTGAGAGCAAAGGGGGCACGTGAGGACTACCGATGGAAAATCTGCGGGCGCGGGGCTGCTGGGCAGCCGAGAAATCTTCTTCGCTTTTCTCAGCAAGGCTGTCTGCGGCGTGCTCATTGAGCCACCTTTCCCAGCATCCCGTCCTGTCTTTGCGGCGTTTAAGCTGTACATCATATTAAATGTGATGCCCACCGTTTCCTCATCAGAAAAGGGTGGGTGCGAAAGGTCTTGATGCGAGCCGCATCTACTCGGGAACTATAACCGCCTTCGGAAGTTAAAATGACGTCATTTCATCAATGCGAATTCTTTATCCCGGACATTGTCTGCTGGTTCTCGCGTCTCTTGACGGGAACATCGAACGCGCCAGATACGCCTGTTTAGTTGGTGCTTATACTCGCAATACTTGTCTCTTCAAATCCTCCTAAGGCTGAAATTCCTCTAATGCCGAGTTATAACACGAAGGTTGAAGCGAAGCTGCCATGGCTCTTTGCTTTGAGGAAGCTAAGCCAAGGCCACCAACCTTACATCAAATACCTGAACCATTATGAGTGTAGCGGATCGTAATCCGCTACCTCCAAGATTACCCAAAACCTTGACCAAGGCAAATGCGCTCTCCCGTTCAAAATTAAAGCTGTACTTATTTGTTTTATTTGCCGTAGAGCGGCCTATATTTAAACCTTATATATTATATAAATAGTAAAACCTGATTAATATACATAACCACTAGCAGTCCTGCCAATTCTTGTTACGGTGTAGCACACAACATTGTGCGATTACATCATCTTGTGTAATCCACACCTTTGTATGGTAGCACCATCTTGTGTGAACCACCCCTATATACCAGGGTACGTGTAACCCCGTTACAAAAGTACTCAATCTTCAGCACAACATTTTACAGCAAGCACGACGCACTGCGACTCCGCTTGGAGCATGATCAAATTATAACCATCTTGTACCACGTAATCCATCAATTCGGATCATAAAAAGTGCCTGTACTTATCAATATTCACATGTAACGTGAATTTTGTGAATTATCTGTACTGTGTTTGTATCAAATGTGGAAAGTGTAAGTACACAAGATTATTGTCCTTGCCTTTTGAATCAGTAGTAAGTAAATCCAAATGTCAAACCAAACTAGCATCAAGTACGATGACGTTCTTGACAAGCTTGATCACATGCACATGAAGATACTTTTGATTCATTTTGTAAGTAGGATCAACCGAGCTGTATCTCATTGCGTAATGTTCATTGTCGAGGGGGTACTCTACCGGGACGATCTAGGTCTGTCCATGACTTTTTCAGCTGCTCCATTAAATATGTAGTTTCAAGTAGACAAGTCAAACACAAAGCCAAAGTCGGTATATAAAAGTCTGACTCATGAATCAGCAGGTGTGTATAGCTTACAGATATTTCTCATACGAATATACCTAAAAGTGCAATATATCTGCTAAATTTTACGATTTTTGCTACGTCGTCTTCACGTGGTCGATGTCTGTATGTCAAATACTGCTCTGAGATAATACATCGTCGAAAAAATTGTCCACATGGTGTTGTTACCATTTTTTAATTAACAGAAATAAAAGAAAAGGTGATATATTTGTGTTTCACTGATCACGAGATTCTAGAATTAAGGCAATGTGTAAGTGAATCTAAAAGCAATAACTTAGTAAGAAAGATTGTAGTATGTTCACTAAGTAAAATATTTATAATTCTTCTTTATCTATTGGATTGCTCGTTCACTCTTGTGTTCTTATTCGTTCGACACCAGCAAGTTTTGTCCATTTGCTCGAGTGACGTTTGACGGCATTTGTAATCAATCTAGACACTCTCTTGGCCATCCACAACGACGGAAACTCGATAAGATAATACGTTGTTGCCGAAAGTGCAAATATGAGTAGTAGTCTGGAAAAGAGTCGATCAAAATAATTCGTTTGCGCTTTCAATACTGGATTATACACGACAAACGAATGCATTAAATAGATGGAGAAGCTAAATTTTCCCCAAGTACAAAGCACATTCCACTCGAGCATTGTCGATATATAGGAGGGTTTGATCATTTCAATCAAGATAATTATTGCCCAATACGCGCTGGTATATGGAACTCCTTTAATGTGAGAGAATGGATTCTCAAACACCCACGTAAATACGAGTCCTCGAAATGTCACGCTCAGCAACATTAAAATAGCTAAGCTTTCTACCGTTCGAAGAAAAAGAGTGTGCCACCATCGAAAGATAAAGCTTGTTTTTTTTATCCACGAGTCCATTTTAATGAAAACAACAGCTGCCATTGATCCTGTAAAAAATGTTGAAATGTGAAGTTTCAAAGGTTGGTGATCGCGTCTACCCGTGAAAATTCCTTCTTTAACGATCCACACCGTGAGCAAAAGTCCAGCAATCCACCATAGACAACGTAGTTTGATGACGACGAAGACAAAGATGGGTATCACAAAATAATACGCAATCTCCAATGGTAGCGTCCAAAACACATGATAGCGATACTGAAAGTCAAACATTAGTGTCTTGACAATATCATAAGGAGGTCGTCGATGATCAACTGAGAAGTAAAGTGATTGGTCTTTGACTGTCAAGAATGATACGACGATAACAGTAACAAAGAATAGAGGGTACACTCGAAATAATCGACGCTGGAAGTAATCAATTAATGACAATGCCCATGTACGATAGGAGGCACCTTGAGCAATTAATGTCTGAATCTTTTGCATGAGGATCCATGTGAGGAGATAGGAAGAGAGCACGAAGAATAGATCGACACCAATTGCCCCAAGTTGGAGGTGCATATGTGGCATGAAGTCATGAGAATGATGAACAACGACAAGCAAGGCTGCAAGGCCGCGCGTACCAGTAAGAAATAGAACTTTTGTCTTGCGCTCAGGTGCTGGAGGATTTACTTGGCCTTTTGAAGTCGATAATGATACAGTGTCCTCAGCTTCGTGTCGTAATTGCGGTTCATCTGCTTTGGAAGAAGAAGGCTTCGTGATATTCCTTTCTTCTTCGCCTTCATTAATTATAATCGTATGTGTACTCTCATTCCTTGTGTCGCTACTTGATGTGCTTTGTAGCATCTTTGGTGTTTTTCCTGTTGTGCTACGAAAAGATCAAAAGCGCAAGTTTGATTCCAACGAGGCTACAACAGGTAGAAATTGTATCGTATACACCCGTCGATACAGCACCTGCAGCGACCACATGGAAACATGCGATATGTCAAATAAAGCGCTTATTCCAACAGATCAGCTATATTATCATTCCTACGAAAAATTTGGGTATTCACAACAACATATGGCAAAGACACCACAATCCAGATATGTCGTCCTCTTCTTCATACTGTATACGCTAAACACGCAAGTGCCATCCATTCTGTCGTTGGATGGGGGATCAGATTCGCAGCATATGTGCATTCTACCCAAATCTTGTATTAAACAGTGGAAGGTGCGTGAATATTTCTATGGTTTAGACTGATTCTCAAAGGTCTCTCTTTACCACTTTCTATTCAGATGGGACGACTTTGTGAGGTTTACATGAATGAGCACACGAAAGGACGCAAAAGAGTGCTAGAAGACGATGATCCCGCCCCAGACTTCTTTAGTGAAATACAGCAGTCCGATTCTTGTTAGTTCTAGCAAGGATAAAGTGCTACATAAAGTTAAACGACCGATTAAGGTTAGTAAAGAGCCACCAAGTGGTGATGCACAAGGATCAGGAGCTCCACCAGCACCCAAGCCGACAGTTTTTACAGGCACTTACTCTCATGGTACTAATCCAACTGAAGATATCTTGAACTCAATTCTACCACCAAAGGAATGGACAGAAGATGGACAATTGTGGGTACAGTACGTCTCGAGTACACCAGCAACGAGACTCGATGTCGTGACTTTACAAGACCAATTGGATCTACGACTGCAACAGAGACAAGCTAGAGAGACGGGGATCTGTCCTGTACGTGAAGAACTTTATGCACAATGTTTTGGTACGTTGCATCTCATTCTCAACGTCGCTTACGCTAGGACTAAAAGTTGATTTTGACGAAACGACAAGATGAATTGATTCGACAAATTACTGTCAATTGCTCAGAACGTGGACTTTTATTGCTTCGTGTCCGTGATGAAGCTCGCATGACAATCGCAGCATATCAAACACTATACGAATCAAGTATTGCATTTGGAATGCGTAAAGCGTTGATGGCAGAGCAAAAGAAAATGGAGACCGAGCAACAAATTCGTACGTATGAAGGAGAATTGCGTGGCTTAACGTCGCAAATTGATGAAATAAGCACGAAATGTGAGGCAGTAGCACAACGTGAAGATGAAAGAAAGATCCAAGATGAAAAAAAACATCAAGAAGAAGTGGATTCCTTGCGCAAGAATAATGAGCAATTGAAAGCCAATCTCGAGATCATGTTTGCAGCTTCTAAGTAAGTTCGAAGCACAGCAACATCAGAAAGATTATTCATAAAGTCATATAATCTTTACATACAATTTTATAATTTATAATTATATCACATTTGTGAATGTAATAGTAGTTTTTGTAGCTATATTCTATATCACATTTGTGAATGTAATAGTAGTTTTTGTAGCTACATTCTTTATATAGCAGCTAAGTAGTACTCATAATGTGACTTTACTAATAGCACTCTTACACACGCTGTAGCTACTACTTCAGTATAATAGTAATGGTTAATATTATTATAATTGCTGATTGTTCCTGATTAGCTAAAATAAAGAAAATAGTAGTTGGAGAGGTAAATTTACAGTCTCCTGCAATGGACCCATATATCCGCGTAAAGAGAAGGAACCAGACGGTGTTTCTCGACGTACAGCTTGCGGATACGTTCCTCAGTGTAAAAGAAAAGCTTGGATTTATTTTTCATCTGCCAGCCTCGAGCATTCAGCTCTGGCAAGGGCTAGATCAGGTCGGTAACCTTAGCTGGATATTTTGTGATTAAAGTATTAAAGTTTCTCCTAAATGACAGAAGGAAAGCAAGGAGCTTGTAGATGCTGCAACGCTTGCGGATCATGAGCTACAGAATGATGCAATTATTTACATGTGTTGGAAGAAAGAGAGTACGTGATAATATCATTCTTTTCAAACGATAGTTATTAACTACTTTGTACTATGCGGAAATAGATTCCGATTCGTGGGAAGATCTCAGTGTGACCAAAGTAGATGTCATTGATACAGGCGAAGGCTCAATCTCAGCCGGTGGATCATCCGCGAGTAATATGAAAGTTGAGTAGATTGCTACTTTAATTGCTGAAGCATTTGATTAAAACTACAGATAGAATCACATTCATTAATGAAAAAATGACACTAGTATCTTCATTTAATATCTACTCAAAGTTCAGAAATTTATCATTTCCATGCGTTTGACGCACACTGCCTTTAATAGACACTTTAGCAATTCGTGATCCAAACTGGATCGCTCGTTTCGCAAGGTTTGCACACTTTGATAGACCAAGTGCTTTGGCTACAAGACGCAATGCTCGTTTCTCGCCAATACCACGAGGTAAATGTGCATCACAAAGACTCGAGACTGAAAATGATGCAATTGTTGCAACCACTTGCTCATCTAAATATGGAAATCGTGCTTCGCGACCATGCGCAGCAATGCATCGATCATCTCGCCCTAAATTACGTTTCCAGATTCGAGTGCACTCCATTTCAAGTTCTGCTCGTAGTGCTTCTTCTCCCTTTGTCAAAAGTGTCGTGCGATGACGTCCATAACCTGCAAGTTGTTCGTCAGCACCGATTCCAACTAGCACGACTGAAGCACTCGTTGAATACATGGATTGAGTTTTAGATGATTCACTTAATTCTCCACACCCACGAGAAAGAAACCAGAATGCTGCACCAATGTTAAAATCCATGTGCGTATCACATGGAGCCATGAGCGTTTGTACTTCGTGTTGTGCACTCGAGAGTTCACGTCGTGATACATTGATCTTGATGAGATTCCACTGGCGTTTTGGGTACAACCGACAAAGTTCAGCATGGGATGTTTCAGCTGCACGGCGATCTGGTGATTTAAATGCTGAGTGCTCATCGAAACACACAGTTAAGAGGTCAATAGGTTCGTTTGGACGAGTATGAAAATGACTTAACGCGGCCAGAACGACGGAATCGATGCCACCTGAAAAAAGAATAGCCACTTGAGCAGAAGATGATTTCTTTTCAAAAGATCTCGACGGAAGAGAGCGAATACGTATACCAACAGCATTGCTCAACGCTACCAAAAGTGCACATGCAGAGGAATAAAGAGATTCTAGATTTTCTTGAGCCAAAATTCCAGCTTCATTCGTTATGGAGGGTAACCTGGTTCCGAATCTATCCATAATGTGACTTGATGCACTCGATGTTACGGTTAGCGTCGGAATGATTGGGGTATACGGAAAAAACTCTATTCGAAACGACGGTAAGTCTCCGTTCGTCGTAACTGTATATGCGCTTAGACCAAGCACATAGACACCAGATGCAGGTACTTCATTGTACTGACACAAGTCTTCACTCCCCTCTCCGATCGCCACGTTACTTAGCACAAAGCGTGTCAAGTCGTTAATAGAAATTTTCGTCGACGCTGTGACTGTTCCCGCCAGATTAGCCAAAATGTCTACTCTACACTTCTCTTCCATACTATTTCCATGCACATTATAAAGCAAACTTCGACGGCCAAATCGATCGTGTGCAAAGTATATTCGTTTTGTCGCTTCATGAAACCATGTAATTGCAAAAGGACCACGTACTCGCCGGAGCACGTCCACTACTGGGTCACTTGTCTCGTTTCTTAGAGTTGCCTCCGATGTTAACTTTTCTGCTGCAGCTTGCAACATTTCAGAGATTAAAATCGTGTCATTGTCGTGCATCGGATCCCATTTGTCTTCGTCTTTGATTTCATCCATTCCGAACACTTCTCCGTTCCAACACAATATGTTATTGCAGGTATCAATAATTGGTTGACAAGTCAATTCATGTCCTCGTAAATGAAGCACTGCACTGTGCATTGCTATTGTACTGTTGATAAAAGAATTGTGCTCGTTGAAAGCAATTGTCATGTGTCGAATGACACGCTCATAGTGATCAGGCCCGCGTTGAGATAGTCTTCGTTTGAGTTCGAGATCGAATTTTGTGAAGGGTGCGGTGGTGTCAGCATTGTGCGTACTGTTTGATGGAATGGAAGGAAGTGAAGTACTACATGCGTCACTGCACAAAGAGTTGGTGAGCACGAGTCCTATACCACACATTCCAAATCAATTGATCACATCTTTTTGACACTATCTCAATTCATAAATATCAAATATTGACAAAGTTTAACAATTCCTTGCTTTAAAGCCGTTCAATGATCGTCTTGAAGGCTTACTACATGAGCTCAGTGAGAAACTGAAGGCAGTTGAGGGCTCAAAGACCAAAGTAAGCCACAAGAAAGTGTAGCCATACTTGTTCGGATCAGCAGGAACAAGGATAGCTGAACAGCTATTTTTTAACTAACGGATTTTTACGAATAGTGATCGGTCTTTTATTTATTAGTAGCCTCAAGAAA